GAACGTATGACCGATACAATAACGTCTGCAAAGGATGCTAGTTCCCAGCTTACTTCGCCCAAAAGTATTGCAAGTTCCACAGTAGAACTCACAGTGTATTAAACAGGCTGGATTATGATTTCATTTCCTTGGCAATTTGTGTCGCACCGACGAGAAAATGAGTGTGCTGTGTGTGATGAGATTGAGTAATAGAATTGTTTTATATCTAAGATAAATGGAATTGAGTCGAAAAGTTTTGAAAAGTCTTCAATTATTTTTTTGGAGTTGGATTCCGTCTTTACTAACATTTTTAAATCACAATTTTTATATGATATATTTCTCAATATATCTATAATGGGAGAGAGAGTTAATTTTCTAGAATTTTGAACAACACTTTGGTACTAAATACTTACCTTGATGTTCGCTGGAAAGTCTGTATCGTCCCACGTTAAATCTTTGAAAGCTCTCTTCATGATGGCGTAACCTCCATTATAACCGACACCAAACAACCTGTCCGACGTCCCATGGATACCAGTTAGCGTCTTGATAAAAAACCTATTAGTACCCAGGACACCTCGACAGTGGAATTGTAAGATTTGACGTAATGGATGAAGTTTGTGGAAATGGCGACGAACAGCAACACAAATCGGCTCAATAAGAAGATGTGTTTTCAGAAGATGTTCGACGGATCCTGCGTAGACGAAGTCTGCTACCTGGACAGTCTGCTTTGCCAGTAACCATTGATCGCCATCTTTTGGCGTGAACACGGGTGAGTCTGAATGAAAAAGGTTATGTAAACATTGAGAGAAATTATACCTTATGTATGAGAACAACTGCAACACATCAGGAGGAGACAACGGTGTCTGTTCTTCTAAATAACTGTTCTTGTAAGAATTTTTCCTTGGAAAGGGATTTTGAGCTACATCCGTTGACAATCTCACAAGCAAATTTGGCACCCTTCCCTCTTTAAACAAAATTTGTTCCTGGAAACGTTCTCAAGGTCAAAAAAGGCTTATATAACTTTTTATGGTCAAAAACGGCTTATATTTTTTTCAGTTAGGAAATTTTTATTTTCCTGGCAAAAATTCTTAGAAAGTATTTCTTGTCTGGAGACTTCTTTTTTCCTGAATTTCTCGCTGGCAACCAGTTGTGACTTACAGCTGGCTGGGACATAAGAACAGATATATATATTTCTCCCAGAAACCCGTCGGCAACTCCTAACACATATAGAGTATTTCACTTATTACATAGGTATTTATAGCCAATACAACGGCCTCATCCCAGTTATTGTGCATCAAATGGATTTTAATTGTTTATAGGGCATTTTGTGCTTCTATTTCTAATCTATATGGAGTGGAGATACCTTATCATTTAAGAACTATAAAACAGCGCGCGTGTCTCTGTCTTCTGATATAAACACGGTGGGAGTTGAAAAACACGAGAGAAGCAAGCCGGTTTCTCGAGAGCGGCCGTTTTATGGTTAAATAAAAATTTTCTGCGTTTTTCGAGCGAAAAACAAATTATGCCGATAAGCCGTGTCTCTGTCCTCTGATATATGTCGACCAGCATTCCTTTCGATCATTACTTTATTCATCAAAGTAAAATTCGTCTTATAATATAAGCAAAAACGTACCCTTTATTATCCCTTTATGCTCTATAATTTGAGATGCTGAAAGACTCCACGCCTTAAAACCGACTGCTTAAAACGGATTGCGTATGGATAACTGAAGTCACCTCATTTTCAATTGATATCAAAAACACAATAGCACTGGATGCTGGGGAACCATGACCTTTCAAGCTTACCTTTTGTATGTCCCATCTGTATAGCGACTGGGATAATCTTGTTCGACTGATTTTTATCTCTACTAGGCTTTGAAACAAACACCGCAATTGGTGACACGGCTGACATGAGTTTCCTATTTTTCACTGTTGACGGAGTTTCATTTCGAGAAGGTATCCCATCAAGCACCGGGTAATGAAGAACGAACACGTGACCTCTGTTAATCGCCTTAAAATATAAAATGGCAAAAATCAACCGACGACCACTTGCGCTGTTATGGTATACAGTCCCGTAGGCTGCCTTACAAATGAGGGAGGGGATTCGTTTTTTTCCGAATACAGTTCATAAAAAWAGATACCAATACAAAAACATGAAAAAAGAGAAAAACCGGACCTTTTAAGCTTGTGGGGGTTAAGTAGCATTGATACTGACGAGTACGGTCGAAAAAGAGACTATTTAGAATACTTCAACCTTAGCTTACTCTAGTACGTGTTACCACAAGCTACAAGGCAAAGTATGATCCATAGGGCGGATCCAGGGAGGGGGAAAGGGGGATGTAGCCCCTTCTTTGAGCATAAAAGGTAAAATCCTTTTTTATTATTTTCAATGTTGTTTATAACAAATATAGCCAATTTAGACTTCCTTAAAACC